CTCTTTGCAGGATGTTTGTTTAGCGGCTGGCTGGGCCACTCCGCACACATTCATTCGGTTTTACAGTCTTGACCTTGACCTCGTGCGCTCTCCTCTTAGTCGTGCCACTTTATTGCACACTGGGGCACGCGGGGTTTTCGGCACGGTTTAGTGGGTATCTCGTTTCCATAGTGTCGTAACCGACGCAGTTCGAGTTCCCTCGAAGGGGAACGTCTCGGGTTACGTATGTAACCCTGGTTCCCCGAGAAGGGGAACAAGACACTGCGTCGGCCCGCCGCACCTCTCTCCCCGCCTGAAGCGCCTGCTTCATTGTTGTAGCTAATGATGAGTGTGTACAGGTGTGCTTTATACTCCCCCGGTTATTCCGTCACACCTTACCGTTCTAGCAACAAGCCAATAGGATTGGAGTGATTTCATTCACGTTCAGACCTGCTTCGCCTAGAGGCGTTCCCATAGTGTCGTAACCGACGCAGTGTCTCGTTCCCCTTCTCGGGGAACCAGGCTTACATACGTAACCCGAGAAGTTCAGTTTGTCTAACAGCTTGTTTAGGACTAGATTTGGAGGTGTCGGCCCCAGATCACATATTTGAGGATATTGAAAAGCTAATAGGACAGAAATTACAGACACATTTTTACACACTGCTGACTCAGCTAAACTTCTTCACACCCAAACTTAAATGATTTCTGACTGTTTCTCCACTGTTTTAATTCTGTGTAATAAAATCCTCTTTATTGACTAAGAGCACAAACAAAAAGTTGGTTGTAAAAAGCACCATGTGACAGAAAACTCTGCTCATTTCTCTGTGACAAAGCTGTTTTAGTGAGGAAAGCTGAAAGGACAGAGACTGACTGACAAACGCTCTTCTGCTCTGAACATGAACTCTGTACTTTGTGGTGTTTCAGGAGGAAAACTGCCTCAGTTCTACTCTCAGATTAGTTTCACATGTTCTCCATCAGCTCTGTATGAAACCCCTGGAATGAAGACGAGAAGAAAAGACTTGGTTCATGTTTGTTTATTCATCATGTAAACCTTCAGTTTGTTCACACATCCCATCAGTAAAGTCTGTTAAATGACTCTTGTTCAATGATTTCATGCACAGATTCACTTCATCCACACAATCAGTGTGTTTGAGCAGAATCTCAGCTGTCAAAGAAAAGAATGAGCTCCTTATTGATTCTGATCAGGAGAATTACACTTTAAAATACCTCACAGTCCCTCATTTGTACGTCTCTTCGGACAACAACAACAACATTTGGTCTGCCAAACAAATAAATGTGAATGTAATTCTAGATTTCTTTCCAGAGTGAGAACAAAATCTCTGAGATAAAGGAAGGTCTGCTGCTTTCTCTCTTCAGACCCATGCAGTGGAAGAGAAACAACAACATACAAATACATCAATCCAAATATTCAACAAACATTTAGAGCTCAGACAAGTTTCCATTTTCATGCAGAGAAAAGTCAGTTCAGGTAAACAAAAGTCATCCTGAGCAGTGATAGCCTCCATGGCTAAACAGACACAGGAAGGAGCGCCGCCTAAAGAAACTCAAACATTTACACAGCAACTAATGACAAGACCTCAAAGTACCGCCCACAATGTTTGATTGACAGGTCAAGGCCACAACAATCAGCTCTCAGCAACAACCACGAAGACAAAATAAGTTGAAGGATTAAAAGACAGAATTTAACCCACTGTCCCTGAAATGACTTCTGACTATTTGACTTTACAGAACTCAGCAGTGGCTCCATAAAAATAAAACCCAAGTCCAGCACAGAGAGGCTGAGTGAATGTGGTCTGGACTCTGTGGAGGAGAGTCATGGTTTCAGAGATGCTGTAGAAGGACAGAATACCTGCTCTGTGATTCAGGTACACTCCTACTCTGGAGGACCGAGGACCTGAGACGGGAGTTTGGACTTTGTTGAACAAAAAGTTATAACTGTCATACCGACAATCTAACGCCCAAGATTTATCATTTCGCCCAAATACACTTTCACTCCCTGCTCTGCTGATGTTCTTGTAGGCGACTGCTATATCAACTCTCCCTCTCCTCTCCACCTCCCAGTAACAGCGTCCAGTCAGACTCTCTCTACTCAGGATCTGAAGACATCTAGTGAATCTGTCTGGGTGACTAGAATAAGACTGTTGTTCTTTCATTACTGTTGCTTTTCTGTTCCCCTCAGATAATAACAGCAGTGTGTTTGCTGTGTTTGGATCCAGAGTGATTTCACATGAATATGTTAAGAAGTCAGCTCTGGTCTTGGGCTCTGGTTCTGGTTCTGACAGTAAAACATCCACATCAGTCACTGTCTTTAAGATGTTTGTCCATGTCTCTGTCAGAACGTCCTGTAGTTTATCTCTGACTTCTGACACAGCCGCTGTCACATCCTCAAAGTAGCGCAGAGGACGGATCTTGATGCTGGATGAGTCTGTAGATTCACTGAGTGCTGACAGTGAGGGGTAGTTGTGTAGAAACTGGTTGTGATCCTCTGTGTGTGAGAGCTGCTTCAGCTCAGCGTCTTTCCTCTTCAGTCAGTGATCTCCTGCTCCAGCTTCTCCTGAAGCTCTTTGACTCGACTCACTTCAGTGTCCTGCTGGGATCTGAGCTGCCGCTTCACATCAGACCTTCTTTTCTCCATCAGACGGATCAGCTCGGTGAAGATCTTCTCACTGTCCTCCACTGCTTTATCAGCAGAGCCATTGATAGCCTCCACCTCCTGCTGAAGCACCTTCACATCTTTCTGTCTGTCCTGGATTCTCTGCTGGATGTTTTGTCGACTCACCTCGAGCTCTCTCTGCCTCTCGGTCCTTTCTGCTGCAGCTGAGACTGTGTCGTGGCCTTTATGTTCATCCACAGAGCAGAGATAACAGATACTCTGCTGATCAGTACGGCAGAACATCTTCATCACCTCATCGTGAGAGAGCAGATGTTCTCCTGGAGCTTCTTGGAGGGCTCCACCAGCTTGTGTTTCTTTAACGGAGCCACATCATAATGAGGCTGCAGGTGTTTCTCACAGTAAGAGACCAGACAGACAGACAGGACTTGAGGGCTTTCAGTTTTCTCCCAGTGCAGACATCACAGGCCACATCTTCAGGTCCAGCATAGCAGTGATCAGCAGGAGCAGCTTGGAGTCCAGTCTTCTTCAGTTCCTCCACTAAATCTGCTAACATGGTGTTTTTCAGCAGGACAGGCCTCGGTGTGAAGGTCTGCCTGCACTGAGGGCAGCTGTGGATTTTCTTCTCATCCTCTACATCCCAGAAGCTTTTAATACAGTTCATGCAGTAGCTGTGTCCACAGGGAATAGCCACCGGATCCTTCAGCAGATCCAGACAGATCGAACAGCAGAATTTTTCTCGGTCCAGCTGAACTCCTTTCTACGCCATTTCACCGCCGTTTTTCACTCCTCAGAGTGCAACTAGTTTGACAACAGCAGTATCAAACTGCAACTGCACTTGCACCACATGTTGGTTACACCCATCTTCAAACTGGAGATCTGAAGGGGAGGGAACAAGGAAATTTATGGACAGAGTGGAGCTCGCTGTGATTGGAGAGCAGGAGGAAGAGGGAGGGGTCATCAAGCTGGGACTCACTTCAGGAAGTGTGCTGATGATATGGCCCTGATTGGCCTTCTGTGTGAGGGGGACATATTTAGGGCCCGAGCACGAAACATGTCACTATTGGAACTGAAGGAATTCTTCTTCTTTCTTTCTTTCTTACTTTCTTTCTTTCTTTTTCTGCAAAGTTACCTTTATTTTGGGGGCCTAGACATACGAGAACTCACCAAGCATTGCACATAATTCAGGCATTGTGAAAATTTTTGTATTTCATGGTTCTTGGGCATGGGCATGGCTCGCTAGCTTATCATGTCCAGTCCAAAAAAAGCCTCTTGGAGCAAATATTAGTAAAAATATAATAATCCACTAACTAAAGTCCTGCAACAAAACTTACTTAAGTAAAAGTATAACACTATTAAGTATTCAGATTCCCTGTCAGCATTTTACTATTACAGTATTTTTGGATGGATGGATGTATAATTTATTTATCGCGATGGGAAATCGGTGTCACAGTTTGCATCAGTTTACCTAAAATACACACACAATTACAGTTAGGAAACAAACACAGCTTACACAAAACACACGAGGGATGTGGCCAACAAGCATGAGGGAGGGCGTCTCCATCTGAAAGCGTTTGACCAGTAGTTTGTGCAGAGGCTGTGAAGTGTTATCCATCATTTTGAGCAGTTTGTCCAACATGGCTAATATTCCTGCTGCACTATGTTGCATTTCACTGCTGCTGTATGTGTTCAACTCTTTAATATTCTGTTGGGTTTAATCTACAGCAATGCATTATATTCTATAAGATCATCACATGCATCACAAGTAGCATCGCTGTCCTGCACAAACAGTAAACTATTCAACAGCCCTGTTTCCAGCTGATCTATCGGTTTTAATAGTTTATTTAGCTTAAGGATAATTTTTTCCTCCTTCAAAGGAATACTTTATTTTTCAGTTTATCAGGAAATATCTGTTCAAAATCACCACATTTGGAGATACATGGCTTCTGACAGGAAAGGTATGAACATTGTAGGCTAAAACGAGTAACTGAAGCTGTCAGATAAATGTAGTGGAGTAAAAATATTTGCCTCTGAGATTTGGTGTAGTATAAAGTAGCATAAAATGTAAATTTTAAGAAGGCTACCTGCCATTTGTACTTGAGTAAATGTATTTAGTTACTGTCCACTGTTGATGGAAGCAAATTATCTCCAAATCCTAAAATTGACTGTGCAAAAAAATATGTTTTGTCTTCAGTGTCTCGCCTTAATTGATTAATTATAAACCTAAAGTTTAAAAATAATAAATAGTTTTTTTTCCCAGATTCCCACATCCGGGGACAACCTGAGCTCGTGGATGCCGGATGCACAGTTTGAACAGGTGCATTGTGGGAATCAGTCTCTGACGCTGACTGTTTATTTCGTGACATTTAACGCCACTTTCCCCTCTGAACGGAGCTAAAATGCCTCACAGAGTCGACATTTTATAAGCTGTTGTTGTAGAAGAAGCGTTTCCCACCGTCAGCCGTCAGGACGGACTGAAACATGGAGGCTGGAGAAGGTAAAGAGCGACTTTAGCGAGCTAAGCTAAAGCGGCTAATGCTGCAGCAGCCTGTCTGCAGCACTGACTGTTTCTAGAACCTGGGTGCTCTTTTGCAGCTGTTGCACGAAGAAATGTGCGATAAAGCAAATTTAATACTTCTTTCTGAGCGATAATAAGGAGTATTTAGCCCACGAGTGATTGTTTATCTACATTTCAACCCTTTATATGTGTAAATAAACCATTTCCACCTCACCTTAAATTATTCCCCCTGATGGAAACTCATGTTACTCACTAAAAAAACAAAACTGTATTACAGGTTTTCTGAAAAGTTATGTTTTATTATTCAAATGAGGCAGTATCTAATGCTATCTCTTGAATTTAGGAGAAATCTGCACACGCAGATAGACAAAGTTTAGTAATTTAAACACCTGTGTATTTATTTTATACTTATTGTATTCAATGTGTATTTTGGGCATCTACTTTCCACTAGTCTAAAAGTCAAAGTAGACTGAAAGCCGGTAGTAATAGAAGTATTCAGATGCTTTTACTTAAGTAAAAGTAGTAATATCACACTAAGAAAATACTCCACTACAAGTAAAAGTCCTGCATTCAAAACTTACTTAAGTAAAAGTATATGAATATTATCAGCAAAATGCAGGCTACCTAAAAGTACCAAAAGTACTCGCAATAGTAAATGTCCTCTGTGTTTACTATTATGTTTTTGGATGGATGGATGGCACGTTTCAAACAAAGTCACAAAGTGCTTTCAGTAGAGCAAAGACAACAAAACACATCCGACAAGTAAAAAGATACTTAAGATATTAAATACAGTTAAAGAAAAATGGATAAATAATTAAAATCAGGACAGGCCCTCCTATAAAAGTATGTTTTAAGAAGGGACAATTAAATTTAAAAAAACCTTTATTTTCTGTCACGTTAAATTATCTTAGGTTGGGAGGAACGAACCAAAGACTCACAACTAATTCCATAAATAAATAAGAGCAGGTGTGCAAAGCTGCATTAAAACGTGGTGTCAGTCTGTTTAACATGGATATCGCAGTGGGAATAAAATAGTTTTTCTAAGTTTGGTTCTTGGCCAGAGGGCCTCTGAAGCGGCAGCGTGATGAGAGGTTAATGACGGGAGTCTGAAAGTTGGATTTGATTTTTGTTGCATGTTTGATGAGTTTGTTTCTTGCTTCTCTCTGTGAGGAACTTGTACCAGGATGTTAAACGTGAGAACTGATTCAATAAGTGTTGTTAAAATGTCCCGTCTGGCATGAAAACCTCTCAGCTCCTCTCAGGAGCAACATGTTGGGCCTTTTTGTAGACCCCGTCTGCGTGTTGTGTGTGTAGGGGGGTGTTTAAAGCTCTCGACCGGTTCCCCCTCCAGCCTGAGTGCTTCAGAGAGAGGCTGTGGGGAACAAACACATGAGCAGCATCTGTGTTGTAGAGCGTGGAGGCTGCTGGGAAGTGTTGCCTTCATGTGGAGAAACACAAACACGGAGAATACTTTGGCGGACTCCTCCACAGCATCGTTCGTTTACAGTAATTAAGTCCCAAAGTTATAGTGATGTTTAAACGTGACTCCCCTCTGGCAGGCGTCAGCACCGCCACGTCCACGGAGGAGATGAATGGAGCCGGGAACCTGATGGATTTCCTGGACGAGCCTTTTCCTGACGTGGCACGTATGAAGACTTCCACACCATCGACTGGCTGAGGGAGAAATCCAGAGACACAGACCGCCACCGCAAGGTTTGACCACGCTTTCTGTTTGTACTGTGTGTTTATATGTGGGTTTGCTAATGTTTCTAATTGATCAGCAGTTGTTTCCTTTTGTTAAGTTTTATTCTCTGCATCTGCCGAGAAACAATGTAAAGTTGTAAACAAACAAACCGGTTCTTCCAGGACTGCTTTGCCCTGCTCAGACAGACAAACGCAAGGTGAAGCAAACACATTAGGAGCGTTAACAAATGCGGGAAAAGGGGGTAAGACGTGAGTTTGGTGGTGAAAGCGAGGGGAAGTCTTTGCTCCCCCTTAGTAGGAAAGTGGAGCTGCTGTGGTGATTGCACAGTGGCTAAGAGACATGTGCCTTTGGTGAGGGAGACGCATCCACCAACGTGTCTCTGATAAAGACACTTCACCCCCGGCTGCTTGAGACGTGCACCACCTCTGACGTGTACAGCCCTAAATTGGTCATAAAATGTGATCTGATCTTCATCTAAGTCCCAATGTTTGTGTGGTGTTAGTGTAAGCAGTGGTTTCCCGGGCGGTAGTCAGCGTGAATTCATTTGTCCTCGTTGTTGTCTAACAGATCACCAGTAAGAGCAAAGAGTCCATCTGGGAGCTGATCAAGAGCCTGCTGGACGCCTGGTCAGGATGGGTGGTGATGCTGCTCATCGGACTCCTCTCAGGTAGGTCGGGGGAGAACGGGTAACTTTTCAGCAGAAGATATTTTATTTCGTTGCCACAAAGATCGGACTGGACTCACGTCAGCGGCGCGTTTAAGGTGTGCTGACGTGTCCTGTTAACCTCCAGGTACGCTGGCCGGGGTGATCGACCTGGCGGTGGACTGGATGACGGACCTGAAGGAGGGTGTGTGTCTGTCGGCCTTCTGGTACAGCCACGAGCAGTGCTGCTGGACGTCCAACGAGACGACCTTCGACGACCGAGACAAGTGTCCGCAGTGGCAGAAGTGGGCGGAGCTGATGACCGGCCACTCCGAGGTCAGACTAAAACAGAAAATGAAGAATAAAAATGTATAAGAAAGTTTTAAAAGCGGTTTTATTGAAGATCTTTCCTGGATGATGAGATTTAACAATGATTTATAAGTGTCTGAAATTTCAGTTTACTGCTCACTAAGTGTTTGTTATGTGGGCAGCAGTGAGGGGAGAAGAGTGATTATCTACTGATAACAAAGATTTTGTGGCTGTACTTGCTCCAGGGAGCGGGGGCGTACCTGTTGAACTACTTCCTTTATATTCTGTGGGCTCTGCTGTTTTCCTTCCTGGCGGTGTCTCTGGTGCGAGTGTTCGCTCCGTACGCCTGCGGTTCAGGGATCCCCGAGGTGAGAGAAACCCGCTACCAGGATTGATGCAGGTCATTTTCCTCTTTTGGACAGTAAAACATATTTACAGATATTATTATTTGGGGTTTTTGTGCAGATCAAGACAATCCTCAGCGGCTTCATCATCCGGGGATACCTGGGGAAGTGGACCCTGCTGATCAAGACGGTCACTCTGGTCCTGGCGGTGTCGTCCGGTCTCAGCCTGGGGAAGGAGGGCCCTCTGGTCCACGTGGCCTGCTGCTGCGGAAACCTCTTCTGTAGCCTCTTCTCCAAGTACAGCAAGAACGAGGGCAAGCGGCGAGAGGTACGCCGGGTGGTCGATCAGCTAACAGATAAAACAGTGTCGGCAGGAGCGGGTCTATCATATTTGTCAGCACGTAAATAAAGTGTTTGACGCTCACGTTAAGGCGAATCCATCCAACTGAGTTAACAAGAAACACTTTATAATGAATTTAAACAACTTTATTTAAGAAGGGGTGTAGTTAAGTACCATGGGAACATTAAAAATGTCCAAACAAAATAGAAAATGTTGCAGAGACTTTATGTAACATTCAACGATGCAATTTCCATCTCTTAATTGGTTTTATGGAATCCTGTCTATTTTTCCCACGTTTTTGTGTCTAAATCATTACTGGAGACCAAAAATGTTGAAATCTGTCCAGTATTGAGTGAGAGCGCCGCAGCTGTGAGACTTGGCTGCAATGTAATCCTTCTGGACCGTAGCGTCATTGTACGGCAGCTAAACGTGTTTGTTTTTGCCGCTGAGAGGCAGATTGTTACAAATGGAAATGGTTTTGTTAAAAGTAATAAGCCACCAGACTCCATTGACAAATACGGTCATTTTAACCTCACAGATCATCATACTTTATTCAAGCTCTAACTAAATAAAACTCTTTGTTAGTCTTTTCACCGTTACACCAATCACTGTTTTGGTCAAAATAAGCTCTTAATTCACTGCGTTAGATGTGAAAATATCGGGACAGGAGCGACGGCGAGGTCGGGCATCGAACTAGAGGCAGAAGATTATGCAGAAGTTTTGCTTTAATCTCAGAAAACCTTCAGATTTAAAAAAGATTAAAGCCGAATTTCAAAGGGCTGATTCTGCTGCTGACCCTGACCTCTGACCTTTTCAGGTGCTATCAGCGGCGGCAGCAGCCGGAGTGTCGGTGGCGTTCGGCGCGCCGATCGGAGGAGTTCTGTTCAGCCTGGAAGAGGTTTGTTGACGGCTTACTCAAGTTCACCTGCTGCGTTCAGGATGTGTCATGGTGTTTTCTTTCTTTGCCGCTTTTCTCCTCCGATCGTCGGCCCTTATTCCTCTAAAACGCTCGCCCGTCCTCCGTCTCTACTGCAGGTCAGTTACTACTTCCCTCTGAAGACTCTGTGGCGTTCGTTCTTCGCCGCCCTGGTCGCCGCCTTCACGCTGCGCTCCATCAACCCGTTTGGCAACAGCCGCCTGGTGCTGTTCTACGTGGAGTACCACACGCCGTGGTACATGGCCGAGCTGGTCCCGTTCATCCTGCTGGGCGTGTTCGGCGGCCTCTGGGGGACCCTCTTTATCCGGGCCAACATCGCCTGGTGCCGGCGGAGGAAGACCACCCAGCTGGGGAAGTACCCGGTCCTGGAGGTCATCGCCATTACCGGTATCACGGCCGTGCTGGCGTTCCCCAACCCGTACACCCGCCGCAGCACCAGCGAGCTCATCTCTGAGCTCTTCAACGACTGCGGCGCTCTGGAGTCGTCGCAGCTCTGCGATTACATTAATAACCCCAACATGAGTCGGCCCGTGGACGACATCCCCGATCGACCGGCGGGACCCGGGGTCTACAACGCCCTGTGGCAGCTCGCCCTCGCCCTCGTCTTCAAGATCGTCATCACCATCTTCACCTTCGGCATGAAGGTCAGTACGAGGAAGATGAAGAATTAATGTGACGACAAACGGTGGAAATACACAAATCTTTCAGGTTTTTCAGGTATTTAAATTATTTTATTTGCCAAAAACCTCCACGATTCTGGCTTCTCCTTACAAACAGGTTTGGGTCTGACCTGCGCTGTTTCACCAAATGCTTCTTGTGACCCTTGCTTCATATTTAACGGCTCTGTTTCCTCTCCAGATCCCGTCGGGTCTCTTCATTCCCAGCATGGCGGTTGGAGCCATCGCAGGACGTATCGTGGGGATCGCCGTGGAGCAGATGGCGTACCACCATCACGACTGGATCATCTTCAAGAACTGGTGTCGTCCCGGCGCAGACTGTGTCACACCTGGACTCTACGCCATGGTGGGAGCCGCCGCCTGCCTGGGTGAGCGGACGCAGGTCATAAATTAATATTGCTTCTGAAGGCTGAACCTCTCCTGTAATAAACCAGCTGTGATTGCGTCCCTTCAGGCGGGGTAACCAGGATGACCGTCTCCCTGGTGGTCATCATGTTCGAGCTCACCGGCGGTCTGGAGTACATCGTCCCCTTAATGGCCGCCGCCGTCACCAGCAAGTGGGTGGCGGACGCCTTCGGGAAGGAAGGCATCTACGAGTCGCACATCCAGCTCAACGGCTACCCCTACCTGGACGTCAGGGACGAGTTCACCCACCGCACCCTGGCCACCGACGTGATGCGGCCCCGCAGGAACGACCCCCCTCTGGCCGTGCTCACCCAGGACACCACCACGGTGGAGGACATCGAGACGCTGATCAAAGACACCGATTACAACGGCTTCCCGGTGGTCGTGTCCAGAGAGTCGGAGCGGCTCATCGGCTTCGTTCAGCGGCGGGACCTCACCCTCGCCATCAGTAAGTCGGTTAAACCAGTTGAGGGACGCATTACCCAAGAAAATTTACACACATTTTTAGAAAACACAGGAATTCTCCCCCGCTGTCCATCCACAGAAAACGCCCGTCAGAAGCAGGACGGCGTGGTGAGCAGCTCGGTGGTCTACTTCACCGAGGACGCGCCGCAGCTGCCGGCCAGCAACCCCCAGCCGCTGAAGCTGCGGCGCATCCTGAACCTCAGCCCCTTCACCGTCACCGACCACACGCCCATGGAGACGGTGGTGGACATCTTCCGCAAGCTGGGCCTCCGCCAGTGTCTCGTCACCCGGAGCGGGTAAGAACCGGAGCGCGGGGCACGCAGGGAAAGACACTCGCTGCAAGGGTTTCACAAGCCTCAACATTCACTGTCTAATAATCTGTCCAAAGAAGTTATCTGCACTTTTCATAATAACAAGAGACCCATCATGACCAATCACAGTGGCCCTTTTGACCCCTAAAAACAAAGACTCACAAAGTAAACCACAAATAAAAACTTTTCTAAATGTAAAAACTACATTTTAAAAATCATATAGTTGTTTTTGTTGAATACACTCAGCTGTATTTAGTTAACATATTAGATATTCTATAAAATGTGACATTCATTCATTCTATCTGTGACCGGCGTTGTATCCCTACTGGTTTTCAAACTAACTGGCTGCTCTACACGTGCACCTGTTGTTTGCAACAGCTGTATGCGCTCCTGCGACCTCCTCTCCCTCGCCCTGTACGCTCCAGCCCGCCGCTCCCTCTCTGGTAGACCTACTGTGGGTTGCGTTGCTCACTGGAAGGTCAGCGGTTGTTCCCTCCGGCTGGATGAGGTCTGACGCTCCTGATTTCACGCATTGCTTGATCCATGTGTTACTGCAGCTGGAGGCTCTCTGCAACACCGCGCAACTTCTAAATTCTTCCATCTCAGAAGAAAATAAAGATCAGGTCGACACAGTCTAGAGAGGCTGAACGAAAATTACCTGAACCTTTTAATCCGTGTATGATTCGTTAATATAGAGCTCGCCGATTTAACTACTAACAGTCTGTGTTTGCGGTGTACCATCACTGAAGAAATCTTAATGGAGGATTCTGAGGCGCTCCTGTTCCAGCTGCCAGTGACTTACAAGCTGAACGTTGAGCCTCCTGTTTTTCTAACTCAAAACCAGCCTGTGTTTAATGTTCAAGCTCATCTTAATTACATTTAATCAGGCAACGCCCTCACCCAAGTGTATCGGCTGCAGTGCAACACACAAATCGGACACATTAAACATCAAAATCAATATTTTTCCATTTTGGTTTTAAAACAAAAAACAACTTTATCTTTTTATCTGGATTCATGATTAATCGATCTTATTTTTGTTTTTATTTGATTCATATTTTGTCTTGAAAAGTGTTATAAAGTAGTAAAAAACTTCCTGAAGGGTGACGTCTTGAAAGCAGATATATTCAGTATTACACCTGTTGTATAACTGAATCTGGAACCAGAGATTATTTGATCGATTAAGGAAAAGGTTTTTTTAAGGTGTAACAGCACCATCTGGTGGGCCGATGAAATGATGACGTGAGATGCTGGATTAGCTGAAATGGTTTTGATCATTAACCTTGATCAGTGGGAAAAGAAGCAGCTGAGGAGCTCGAGCCAGATAGTGATCGACGTCAGTGTAGCCTGTATTCTCCTGACTTTAATACATCCATGAAGGTAGATTACTTTCTGCTCCTGCATCGGCACATCTCACTTGAGCTGACCTCTGACCTTGTTTATTTCCCTCTCTGTGTGTCTGTTCAGGCGTCTGCTGGGCATCATAACCAAGAAGGACGTTCTGCGGCACATGGCTCAGATGATGAACCAGGATCCAGAGTCCATCATGTTCAACTAGCAAGACGAGCTTTTCTGCAGCGACGGTGTAAATAGGTGAAACCGGTGCGACGCTACTGTACTGCAGCCCGTGAAAAGCCCCTCCCCCCCTCCCTGACAGGCAAGTCCCATCCCTGTAGTGAGCTCCGCAGCACTGCTCCACGTGTCCTCCGTGCTTCTACTTCAGTGTAAACATCGTTTTAACATTTCAGGGGATGAGCTGCTCGCAGACTGAAAAGAGAGGAACAAAAAAAGTAGAGAGCTTCTTTTTCTTTGCTGTCACATGTTGCCAACAACGCAAAGAGAGTTTAGCACATTTCATGTTCAGAGTGCCAAACTCTGGTTCTTTCAGCAGCAGCAGCTGAAATCCTGATCAACTCACCCGCTGTCTTTTGTTTAATTTAGTGCTGCTAGTTCAAACGTTTAGAAAGCCACGCTGAAGGGAAACACTGAGAGCAGTATTTGCAACTTAAATACAAAGTTAAGGCATAAATAAGGAATCACAGGGTGTCTGCACAGACCTGGAAAGTCTGGCAAGTTGTAGAAAAGTTATTTGAAACTGATAATGTCTATTAATCTTACACTGATGAAAATAAAGTCTGGAAAAGCTTCTACGAACCGAGGTTGTGAGCTTAGGCAGGACTCTCAGCTCACACATGGTGGTTTGTTTGTAATCAGTCTGAAACGGGTATAGATTATCATCTCAGTCGAAAAAGGTGCGGTTAAAAAATTATACTGTTGAACTTACAAATCTTTTTGTCAGTCAGCAAATAAATTAATTGTTTTCAGCTCAGTTCAGGGGCAGAAAACTAAATGTTCAGACTCCAACACAGAGTTCACAGGTGCAAACTTAAAATTGCAAGTTCACAAAACTAAGATTAAATGTACAAAAGTCTGTTTAAATTGCACCTTTTTTTAATTATCTAATATTCTTTAATAGTGCTGCTAATATACAGCACGCTGGAAGAAGGTTGGTTTTGATATTTGATATAAAATGTCACTAAATCTGCTCTTGAGGTGAAAATCTGTGAAAGGTACAGACCTTTGTAGGAATCAGAAACTGTGAGTCTTTTGTGATTAAATGGTACTCGGGCGTCACTGAGGCTTTAAAATAAACGGGACCAGTTGAGAGTTAAGTGTTTGAAGCTCAGCAGCGCTCCGCCCCTGTCTGTAACTCTGAGTCTGCTGCACTTTGGGCTAACATTTGTGTTTTGTTTATGTGTTGCTGTCATATTTAAATTAACGCTGCCTGTATTAGTGTTCATTTTGATGCATCAGTGGCACCTTTCAGCTCGATTCTGTTACTTTAAACCCGAAGGCACAAACACTAAATGTCGTTTTTACCGTAGCAGTGAAGTGTCAGGAGACATTCTCGTCGTCAGTACCGTGTTTTGGTATCTTGTGTTAATTTAATCAGAGGGTTTGTAAAGAGCCTGACGGTGTGTTTGATCCGAGCGGACGTGCAGGTGCGCCGCACGTCAAACTGTGTGAGATTAAGTTTCTATAATTTCTAATGCGTCGATCTGTTAAACTGGATCGTTATCGCTCCTTACCTCATTAAGTTGGAATCAGCATCCCTGTTTTTTAATCTGCGCAGTGATGTTTCAAATCAAAGCACCGCATGCTGCGACAAAAACACTAAATCAGCGTTTCCTTTGGCTCTCGTGTGCTGTCTTGTAGTTTCAGTTGGTCAGAGTTGACGGAGTAAATCCGGTTCTAAACATGTGACCTGATCATTTTGCTTGTAGGTGGTGGGTAGCAAAAAGCGGTTTCTAGATCAAAATTGTCGTTTCTCACCGTGCGATCGAGGACTGCCGCTTCGAATCGCCTCCAAAGATTTCCCTCACCATTGTCGGCTTTTAGAAGTGGGCTTTCAGAAAGCTCACGAAGAAGAGAATAGCTTCAAAACCAGGAATGAAGTTGACATCCGTTAAACATTTTTCAGCCAAGTAACCAATGCTACGATAAGCTCTCATTACATAACTGACAAAAACAACACAGCGCTGCTGTAACGCTGCTGTAAGTGACACGAAAAGCTAAACACTGGAGACCTCGAGACGCTTACAGTCAGTCAGGCAGCTGCAGGAAGATCCTTACATGAAGGAAAAATAACTAGATGAGGACTGAAGTGTTGCTACACAGGTCTGGAAAATGATCCAGGGAAACAAACGCGATCCTTTCCAGAACTTAAAAATATTAAAATGCACAAAAAGATCCTGGAAAATAAAGTCCTGCTACTTGACTGTACACTTTTTATCTCCTCGCTCATTTCCTGTGTAATAAAAACTTTATAGGTCAGAGCTCCCAGCTGCTGAACTGTGAGGGGATTTAGTTTTGGGAAACACATCGAGAACTCACTCTGTGCTGTTGTTGTTGTTGTTGAAGCGAATGATAAAGTTTTGTTTTTAAATGCCAAGTGAATGTATTGAAAAAATAACTTGTGTTGTATGTATTTAATTTTTTTTAATTTAATTAAACACTAATGTTGAGCCCTGGTTAATTTTAACTCTAAATATTTATCAGATGCAGAAATCACATATTTGCACTTTTTTTTTTTTTTAATCTATTTTTTTGGGGGGGAATGAAAGTGATTTAAAAAAATAAAACTTTGAATTTACCTTCAGACGGTGAAACACGGTTCAGTTTGCTTCTTCTTCTAATGTGAACAGAGACGACATTGTATCTTTCACATTGATGCTTTTTATTTAGACTTTAAAAGACACTCCGTTACCTCATTACTACAACTTTATTGATCGTCACAATGTTAACAGGAAATACTGCGTTTCCTAAATGTATAAAGTAAGTTTGATTTCAAAGTGTTAGTGATGAAACATTTTGTTGTTTTAATATATAACAAGAAATAAAAAATAAGCACTTTTATTTGTTGTAAATGGGCTGATTGTGAAAAATATGGACGTTATACATTTCTTGTCACTTAGATTCACATCGATCAAGATTAATCTTTCAAAACTACTTTATGTTGGGTAATTTAAAGTATAAGTCTGGTGTCTCATTGTTTTTCCCAACACGTCACAGATATATAGTAATGTCCTGTAGGTGGATGTGGTCAGAATAAACATTAGTGCAACAGTGCGGCTCACTGATGTGTTTGATTGACAGGAGGAGGACTGTGTCTCAGAGGCTGTGAGAGACGCACAGGACTTGTTGGTAGAGACAGTCGGTGTTGAGTCGGGTAGGAAAATAAAGACTTTAACATCACACTTTCTTACAGAGCATGTAAGCATTTTAATTGTCCACCAGGTGGCGCTGTTTAGGCTCATGACTTTGGGTTACAAGGTGACCTGTCTGGATTACCTGAACAACAACAACTTGGTTTATAAATTGTCCTGTTAAAACACCAACATGTCCAATGAGAAGCAGACAAACGTCACATGGGCTTCTTTTAATGGTACTCATCCTCTTTAAAAAGCCAAATCTCAACACCCGCCACAGTTTCAACAGCTCTCACCAGCTTCTCCCCTCTGATCGGCTGACCATAACCTTATCCAGCAGAGGCAGCGAGCCAGTTAGAGGCAGAGTTGTTGAAAATCTGGAGAAAAAAAAACTACGTAACGACACTAACTAAAACTCGACCAGTTACAAAATTCAGAAACTCAACAGTTTATAAAATGATTCAGATGCAATACGTCAGACCGGCACACACGGGTACTTCATAAAACGTCATGGCCCCGCCCCTTTTTGGGGGCTAGAAACCAAAGATCCTGTTGATGTGTTTAAATGCATTAATTTCATGGTAAATGTTTTATAAATATTTCTAATAATTATTTTACATCCTGAACTTGCACTTTAACATTAAGTCAGTAAGCCGTCATGCCCGTTCAGTCTTTCTCTGTCCAAGTGGATCGATGACCCAACACACGGGCCAGATGTGGTTCATCTGGACATCTGACTGAAACACCAGGTATCGTTTGTAAATAACCAACCTGTTGACACCTGAGCTGAGCTATAGGCCGAGATCTAGCTGGATCAAACTGCTCAAGCAAACTATCTAACCTAATCTTGGAATATTCAGGTATCTTTTACGCCTCAAATCTGATCTGGATTTGTGTGTCAGTTAGTTTTAAAGGGGACGTGGCCTCTGCGTTTGATGACGTGATGCAGGTCTGCTGCATGACTTCCTCTAACACACTGCTGCTGAATTTAATGCTCTGTCAGCTAACACATCTGTTTTAGACTAATCTGGGTATTAAACTACTCCTCCGCCTCCTCCTCATGCTTTGCTCGTCCCCTCCTCCTCCTTGCTGGCTCTCTCCATGTTGGAGTAATAATCCAGGGCTCGTCGCACCGGCTCCAGAATGTGTTGCTGCATAACGACAAACACCGTGAAATATTACAGTGACATTTTAATCACCAAAACCTGATGAAAATACATTTTTACATGCTGATCTTAAAAGAAGAGAAACCTTCATTTAACAATTTTAAAGAAATATATTTGTATTTTTGCTTTCAAATGAATACATTCGTGAATTAGCTCTGACATTATAAATTAACCTTATTGATCACATCAGTCATCACAGGAGGAGCAGATGGTGCAGCCAAAATGCCACATTTACATGTTTTTTCTGAGCACTTCCCAGAAAACAAACACCTAAAATGACACAAACAAAATGAACCAGGTATAACTTCTTAATCTTATGTATATTTCAGAATCCACTGTAAGTAAACCTAAATTTCTGTTGCTATAACACAGTGAATGGAGATGCAATAAAAATATAAGATTTTCATTCTCCCCTGGTATAAAATCTAAAATTCAAAGGCAATATCACCATTAAACCAAGATCCTGCAGATTATAATCCAACTGAATGTCTTCTCCTTCTCCTTGACTCCACCTAACTGTGAATCTGATGAAAATACAACATCTATGATACAATTTCTAAACATATCCTCAAGCAGTCTCCATGTTTTTGCCATGTTTACTGGGAGTTTTGCCCCAAAACACTTTTTATTTCCATGTAGATGTTAAAAATAACATACAGCTCCCTAAAACATTGAAGTATTAATACACAACACAATGAAGATTGATCAATATTCATGTAACCAAAGAGCTCCATGCTATACAGCCAGATAAATGGAGATTAAAAGGCTCCACAGTGATGTGTGATGGCGCCCAGGCAGCTTTTTCACGTGACCAGACTTACAGAAACCACGAAGGTAAGACACAATCTGTAGTTCATAGAAACCGCCACTTTTTGTCCACGTTGATTTAAAAGTTAAGCTTCACTCTTAACTACATGGGAAAAGAATTTATGCTTTAACATCCGTCTAAAATTCTTGATGACTGGAAAACTACATCTGATGATGTTGTGATGTTTAAACAAAATAAAGAAATAAGACGTTTCTTCAACTTTATGAGGTCAATATTGAACTTGAAACTACTCGTGCTGTGTTTATGAAATTGTCAAACAATGTGGTGTTTATGTAGTAGACGTCAAAAAGAATCAGATGTAGTAGCAGAGTATTTCCTTTCGGTGCCCATCTATCAAACAGCAGAACAGCAGTGGTGATATTTTACCTCCAGACAGGGGAAGAGCTTGGTGAGCTCGGTGAAGAGAGGCACGAGAACAAATCTGATGAAGTTGGTCTGAGAGGACGGTTTGGACACTTTGTCTCGGTCCATGAAAGGAGCCACTGGAAGTCCTTTGAGTTTCTCCGTGTCACTCTGCACAACAACAACAAGGGCAGACACTTCTGTCTAAGGGGTTTCATTTAAATTTAAATACGCCATTATAATCAACATTTCATTTTTGGAAGATTTTCAGTTGTCAGGTCCTGGATTTTTTCCAATTGTAAAGGCAGATTTTATTCTAGTTTACTTTTGCTTTCTGTCCATGTGATAATCCTGTGTGTTGATCAGTAAACTGAGAGTGAAAACCTGGTTGAAGAACTCCTGCAGCAGACAGTCCAGCCAGGGCTCGGCCACGGCCATCGGCCTCGCCTCGTTGGAGATGTCACTCACCTTCACCATAATCTTCATCAGCTGGACACAGGGATCAGATGCAGAATAAGAATCTCATGTAAGACAGCACTGTCAGAGCTATGATGCTGAATTTCTGCTCTTTACAAGCCATATTTTATTGATGTGTTATTTCATTTCAGACTTCTTATCGATTTTACCTGAAATCTTGATTGTCCCATATTTAGCACTCTTTAATTTGAAAGGTGGTGTGTCAGGAAAAAATATAAAGAAGCAAATCTAAATATAACTATATTAAAAATATAAAGACAACACAAGTCAAGATAGAAATGTTGGAGGGTAAAGTAGCAGACATACACACATCTGTCCCGCTAAATGGCGGTAGTTAAAAATCGTGTTGTTTGTTGACAAACAAATGAGAAAAAAAGGAAGTTTGGTAGTTTTCCTTTTTTATTTTGTTGTCTTAATGTGGAGGGAAAACTAAAAAGGTAAATTGACCTGAAATCTAAAAATAACACTTAAAGCAAGTTTCAGTGTGTATTTCTTTACCACTTCCTTGTGGTCCTTGTTGGTGAAGTCGAACACCGGCTGCATGGTTTTGAACTTGTTGAGAATTTCGTTGTGTCTCGCCATGTCCGTGGCCAGAATACATCTAAGAAAAAAATGTTGTTGTTTTTTTAAACTAAACAAACGACACAACAACAACATGGCTGAAGTGAACGAGGCCTTACTTGATCATTCCTCTTCGGATGTATTTGTACTGCTCACAGCTCAGGTTCTTCAGGATGTTGCACTCCGGCTGCAAAGCAAAAGCAATTTTTACAACATTTGATTCAAACTGCTATAATGTCAAATAGGAAACTAAATTAAAAACCATTTTATTATTGTAAATGATTAAAACATGTTAAAATACCTTTGCATTTAAAAAATAAATGCAATTGATGTGTTTTAGGTGTTAATAACCTCAAATTAGATCAGGGATAATCAGAAACAATTGCTTGTGGTGTTCCCCTGGGATCAATTTTTGGACACCTCTGTTTTCTTGTTTACATTAATGGCAGGATAAATTTATACTTAGATTACTTTTTGCTTTCGATACTATCTTGTTTTCACACTTTTTTCCTGAGGCAAAGAAATGTTTAATCAATTAAAAACTGCCAAACAGCTTATTTTGCTGAATAATGTTAAATGTTAACTTAAATTTTGTGACTGCCAAAACCAAAAGTTATTGTTATGTAAATATATTTATTACCTTTTCACTGGAAATAACTTCCATCTCTCAGGTTATCTACAATAGTTTTTGGTCCTTTACTTTATGAAATATTTAGGTCAGTTTTCAGTAAGAAGAAATCGGGTCAAGTCAGTTTTATTTAATTAACAGTCTGTTTATATTCAGTCAATACATCAATCATAATTTCTAATCAAAATCAATACAGCATTTGACAGCCTCTATCCTTTGACCTCTGATTCAGATAAGGGAAAAACTCCCCAATCAATCGGGTTGATCAATAAAATCAGTAGTTTGGTTCATTGCAAACGTTTGTTTACTCTTTACTACAGTTTATTGACTTGTACCTCAAATGTTGCAGTATTGTTTGGACTGTTACTTTTTCCACCAACCTTATTACGATCCTTTATTTCCAATCAGACTTGTTTGTTTTTTTTTAATCCTTTAATGCATGGTGTTTTCTGTACCTTGGACAGGATGCCGAAGGCGACGGCACAGTGGTGATTCTCCAGGGGGGAAATATCGTTGTAGCGAAGAGCTAAATCGGTCTGAGCGTTGATCTGAAATAAACCAAACATAGGCTACAGATTAACAAACTCGACTACGAGACAAACAGGTTCAAAGCCCAACAGAATGGCGACGTGAGGTGACCTGGTAGACGTTGTTGTAACCGGGGTGGTCGAGGTCGTGGCACAGAGCCGAGGTCAACATGATGAACAGGTCGATCCTTGATAGTTTACTCCTGAGGTCCGTCAGCCAGATCAGCCCGTACATCTGCAGAACGAGACAAACAGCTTCTGTCACGTGGCAGAACTTGTTACAGGTTTCTCAAGAAAATGGGACATTTACACAAATACCTACTCAGTGTAGGAACATGACTATTTTGAGAATAATCAAAGCATATTTATCCCTATTCTTTTTTAAACTTTAACATATAACACATATTTTTAAATCACAATGGCATGTTTGAAACTTTTATAGTATTCAGATCCTTTACTAAAGTAAAAGTAACATTGCTGCACTTTAAAATTCTCCAGTACAAGTAAAAGTCCTGCATTCAAATGTTACTTAAGTAAAAGTAAAAAGGTTTTGGGAACAAAATATACTTAAAAGTACTCATTGTGCAATTATATTTTACTATATACTATTGGGTCATTACTAGTGATGTGTTAACATGTACTTTAAAGCTGTAGAAGAACGAGGAGAATCCCATTTTAATTGCTTTATATACTTTGAGATAATTAAATCTACATAATGCATCATATTCTAGTAACTGATCAAATATTTTTTATGTAAAATACAAAAAATAATCAGCTTTAAAATAAATGTAGTGAAGTAAAAGTATTGTAGTAAATGCACCATTGTATTTTATTTAACATTATATATAGTTTAATATTATATTGAATACTGAATTTTAGTAAATGTTACAGTTCAAAATTGTATTATTGTCATGTTTGATATTTTGATTGTCCACAGTATCTTTGTCACCTCTCTTTAATAAAAACTTCAGGAAAGACTTCAGAAAAGATTAGTTCATGTTAGGTTTTATATAACAACCATAGTTTATGTATAATTATCTTCTCTTTTTTTTCTTCGAGTATTTACTCTGAAAATACGCTGTCGGTCTCAAAAATACAGAATTTGTTATATTTTTGTAAAACACAAATGTGGGAAGTGTTTGTAAATAGTTGACAAAGTACATAGTTCTCTTTTCTCATACATGTGTTTAATTTCTGGGACATTATTGGCCGAAAATCCAGCTGCCAAAGAAGAACTCATTCTCTCCTGCGACCTTCAGATAAAACCTCCTGTTCGTACCATCTGCGTGACGCAGAAGCAGTGCTGGAAGTTGTGGAAGGGGATGCTGTTGTAGTGGCAGTAGACCTCAAACAGGAAGTTCTGCAGGACGTACATCTCGATGTGGAACGCCGTCAGGAAGTCCAGGTCGGTGAACATCACCTGGAGGAGCACCAGCATCTCCGCCTCCTCCCACTGCCTGTTAACAACGCCGCACGCAGGTGTGGCAGGAGTCAGTGTGTGTGAGTCTGACAGTGTGTAAGTAGGTAAGGATGGTAACAAACATAAATAACAATTTAGAATTACGAAACATACAACATCAGCAGAAAAGAACAAACACTAGTGATATTGGTGAGTCTTGATAACTTTAAAAACATCTGTTGAATTGGATAATCAGAGGTGAACTATTCCAGAGTGCAGGGGGAAAAGACAGGGAACATTTGATTGATCACCACTTTCCAAACCCCCCCACAAAAAAAACAGGCTTTTGAAAGATTTCTTAACTAGAAAAATGATCTTACAGGTTTCTAAATATGAACTCCAGAGAAAATGTGTCAAATGTGACACCAAAAGGTCCCAGAGACTGCTGCAGGGTCTTCTAAGTGTCATGGCCATGTTAAGGACCCTCTGTTTCATCCTTCGTTTAAATTGAGAACATTTTGAGACATCAAGCTTCTTGAAGAGTCCCTGCAGTCATTTAGGTGACTTAAGTCTACAGAGATCACGTCTGACACACAAGTACAGTTGTGTGTCATCTGCATAAAAGTGAAAAGAAATAACAAAAATGCTGAATTTAAAGGCCCTGTGGTGGCATATAAATAGCAGATATAAGCGAGCCAAGAAGAGGAGAGCAGCGTTAGACATGCCATCACTAATCATCACAGGAAGGATCTTGTACGATACAGTGAGTGAGTGTTTTTACTCACCAGTTGTCAAAAATGGGAGTTTTCAGATGCTCTCTCACTTCTTCTGTCACCTGCAGCGAGCTATGGCAACACAGATAAGACACATAACCTCCAATGTGCACTACACTTTGTTGTTTTACCTGCACACAGGTTAAACTCATCGTGAAATTCACCTGACAAAAATCTGAGAATCAAAAATGTTGTTCATAAAAACATTGAGTTTCACATTCATGACGATTTCACACAGGATGTGTCATAAATCCCTGTTGATTATATTTAATAAATGATCAAGTCACCAGGACTTTATGTGATTATGTAACACTTATTTACATTCATTAATTTACCAATAAATTAACTGGATTCTTTCAACAACAAAAAACAAATAAACTTAAATAATACAGATGTTCCATTAACATCATATTAATATCTAATTTAGTCCTGAAACAAATCGGCACAAAATGACAACGAGGTCACCTCATGTTGAGGAACTTCCTGCGGACTTGTTGGCGTTCCTCCTGCGAGCTCAGCGGAGGCGTTTTGGGCTTCGGGGAGAACTTGGAGAGCTGCTGCTTGCTGTCATCCTTGAATAGACCCATCCAGCTCAGGTGCACCACACTCTGACAGAAAAGAAAACTCAACTTTATCGTTTCTGCCAATCTTTTTTATACAATAAGGTGGAATGTGAAAGGAGACAGACCAGAGTGAAGCCATAAAGGTTTTCTGCCTCTCTAATTAATGAATAAGGGCTTTAATGAGTTTATTTAAAGTTTATTTAATGAGCTAAAATAAGCTGCTGATAGTGTTCAGTGTTCAGTACTTTGGGAGTTTGTTTGTCACTAAAGTTGTTTGCTGCTAAATCAGACTGCACATTAAATGATGCCGCTCCTTCACATTAAAAGCATCTGTTTGGCAAAACCATGGAAGGCTTTTATTGTGAAGCAGCCACAGGACATGCAATGTCGAACAATTGTGATTGTCACAAAACAAGATTTGCATATTAAGAACACTAGTGGAGTTCAGGACATGCCTAGCCACTAAATTTGAAAACAGAACATTAATATAATCAATCAGTAAATAAATAAAAAGCCAAGTAAGTGTACCAATAATACAGGTAATATATATGAAATATGAGGCCAATGGAATATATCTAAAAGAAGACATCTCAGGAAAGTATCACAAAGAACACAAAATATTCTCGTAGGAATTAATGTGCAACAGTCTGAGAGTGACAAACCTCCAGCTTCCTCTTGAAAGACTCCACTTGGCTTTTCAGCTCACAGATGATGTCCGGAGTCTTCCTCATGTCTTCAATGACTTTGCTCTCCAGATGATGCAGCCTAAAGGCGGAGACAGGAATCAACAGTGAGTCCTTCTCACCCAGACCTGATCAATAAATCCCCTTTACAGGACACACTCACCTGTAGTCCATGTGGTCCAGCTCTGGTGGCATCCCCACACCTGCACATGGACAAAAAAACACCGAAAACCCTCATACTATCACTAATAGGTCAAAATTAAAAGTACTGTTTTCACTTTTTCTTAGGGAGTTTAAGCTGGTGAAATAATGGCGAGTTACATTTTGATAAGAGGACCTTCAGGATGGGATTTCACGTTGATTTCAGGGGCAGGTCTTGGTCCACATTTAACAAAATGATTGAAACTTTTGAGCATCTGTCTGTAGAGGCGAGGTATAGATGAACATGTGAGCTGCTGCAGATCTTTTTGACTTAAGATACAGGTGCTGTCTCATCATGAATCAGATTTATCTTCGACCCGTTGTGAAATTCTGACTTGCAGGTTGGGAACTGCTGTCCTCATAATTAGAGAAATACCATTTCCCCCTAAAATCCACCAATGAAATGTAACACTCTTAAGAAGTGTTTTCAAAGACTATAATTTTGTCACATTACATTTATTTATTTATTTTATCGCCCTAAATGCTGTTTCAAAGAATTCTTGCATGTGGAGAAATACTTAATCCATAAAATAAAGACTTTTCATCTTAGAAACGTGCTGCTGTTCAGGTCGGATCAAGGTGTCACAGAAGAGGTCGCTCACTCTGAAGATCCGACGCCACCACCTCCAGCTGGTAGTACGAGTCCTTGCTGTTGGCTTCCAGCCGGGGGGAGATGTTCACCAAGCTGCCGTTTGGTTTGTACATCTTCAGGATGTGGTGAGGCCCTGCCTCCGCCGCCGCCCGGAACAGATCTGTCAGACGGATAGTTCAAAAATTATAATTCCTAAGCCAACGTCATCAAAACACTGGTTACTACACACTGACACATTTTTTAGGTTAGGTATAAAGAACTTAGAGCCGCTTATTATTGTTGTCTTTAAAGGGCCCCGTGCAAGAAGCCAAGGGCCCAGTTGGTTTGTTCATCACTGCCTCAAGATGACAGGACCTGTCAAAGCCACATGGCGGTCAGGTTCTGACACAGAAGCTATAGGAACATTCATGACCATGAAATTATCAAGACTCTTCTCTTATACATGCCATGTTGACATTCAGATGTGATTAAACTGAATGTTTGTCGCATTTGTTTTTTTTTAGATTTACATTATGATAATGTCTTTAAAATCAGCAGTTGTCACTAACTACAGCTTTTCTTACCTTTGACATCTGCAGCAGAGCAGTCGGCTCCAAACTCTGCTCGCTCCAGCCTCCCGTTAGCCATAAAATAAATTATTTTTGTTGTCATCCCAGGGCTACAGGTGGGACATGGCCTGCTCCAGAAATGAAAATGAGACCTCTTGACAATGACATGCACACCTTGAATCTGTAAAGAGGCACCTGCAGCTGACAGAGAGTCCTCCCATCGTCTCTCCCCTCCTGGGCTGCGCTCAAATAGTCTTTTTTTGCTCAGGAAGATTTCCTGTTTTATCCTGTTTTTATTTTCTATTTAACTCTTTTAAAAAATCTATTTCAATGTCTTTTATATGGTTCCCTTTGTTGTGTTTTATTTAAAGCACTTTGAGTTGCCCTTGTTGTTGAAATGCTATACAAATAAACTTGCCCTGCCTTACTGAGTGAAATGACTCGGACGCACACTGTATGGACAAAAATACCGGGACACCAGGGAAATCTTGATGCAACAACATACAACTTTAGACAGTTTGTGTTTGGCCTTTTCCTCTTTCAATATGACAATGCCCCTGTGCACAAAGCCCTGACCCCAACCCTATCCATGGATGAACAGAACAAAAATCTTGTAGAAAGCCTTCCTAGAAGAGTGGAAGCTGTTCCAGCTGCAAAGGAGCAGATGGGATGTTATAAAAGTAATGTTTAAGCGTCCCAGTACCTTTGCTGTCAAGATAAGAGCTTATTTGAATTCTCCAAAAGCTCAGGAACACATGTATTTTATATTGCATCTTTAATGATGGTGTTTTTTGCCGTGTATCTTTTGTGAAGCACTTTGTACTTTTGTTTGATAAGAGCTATATAAATAAAAGTATTATTATTGTTGTTGTTGTTGTTGTTATTATTAGAGGGTGGGTGTAGTTGCGCAGCCCTGCCGGCAGGTGTCGCCGTTCTGCGGCTGGGCTGCCTTCACTGCAGGCTCTACGGTGTCTGCTATGGGACATGCCAAGATTTACTACGGCAAATTATCATTTTTGTCATCTTTAACAACAATGAAAGATTTGTGATTCTCCAGCTGAGGGGGATTTTAGACGACGCGTAAATGGCTTGAGGATCAACTGCCAAGTAGTTTTAAAAAAGGAAAGCGCCTTATTGCTGATGCGAAGTAACGGTAGTTTGTGGCCAGAGGCAGTAACGTTATCGCCACTTTGGACTTTTTGTCTGGGAACGTTTCAGTCCATCCGGTGAGTGAATCTCTGACCGGTCACTGAATTAATAACTAATGTATTACCAGGCTAGAAACAGGTGAGGGACACTGGCGCTAACGCTGCTCCTCCGTGGCCTTTGGTAACTTAACGAGCTAACTTAGCTATCACCAGCTTTGACTGATAAAAGCTTGCTAGTAGCGAGCTAAGTGCGCTAGCACGAGAAGCTAACAGCTAACTGAATAACCGTTAACGCCAGTTAAGTCACTTAACGGTCGTCTAGCTAAACGTGAAGTGCCGCTACTCGCTCTTATTCTGAGCCAGAAGTTAGAAAGCGTGATTTTTAATAAATATATATAATCTTTCTGACCGTTCATGTTCAATTTAAGTGCGCTAGTTTGTAAACTTCGCCTAATTGTCGCCCTTTTCTTGTTACATGTCGTTCCAGGAGAATGAAGTGCACCGTGTCGAAGCAGCGCTCCAATGCGGGATATAATGCTGCTGCTTCACCAACGTTAGCTGCCTCTTAAAGATAATAACTGGCTGTAAACGGGGCCAAGTATCCTGCAGCGGGTCCTGGCAGCTGCGAGGGCTTTGGTGGACATAACTTGAGGAGAAAGGCCAGCTGGTAGTTTGCGTGTGCCTTGGGGTTTCCTGTTCCAGGCAGCAGCCATGGAGGAGGAGGTGGTGAGCATGGAGTACTTGGTGGAGCAGGTGATGCAGAAGGACCTGGGGAAGAGGCTCCAGGTGGGCCAGGACATTATAGAGATGATCATGGACGAGGAGAAGACCCCCGAGCTGGATCAAGACCAGACCATGCTGGACAGGATGGTGGAAGCGGTGGCCAGCTCCTGGGTCAACTCCAGCAACTTCAAGGTGAGGATGTGAAAGTCAACTTGCACATGTCACAGGAGGGGGTGCTGCAAAACGGACACGCTCCAGCTCTCTCAACATCTTTTTAAAAATAGCTGTAGAGGTGCTCTTGAAGAAGGCACTTCACTCTCAGCTGCTGCATCCCAGCTGCTTGGTGTATGTTTTGGTTGCACTGGTCAGGTGTGAGCACGTGGAGCCCTGAAATAAATCAGACTTTAAAAGTTGAGAAATGTCACAAATACAGATGTTTACTTTTGTTGTTTTTACACCTTGACAGGTGGTTTTGCACTGCATGTACTCTATTGGTTGTATCCAGAACATGGGTAGGAGTTTATGAGGCGTCCTATATTTTAATTAAATTAATAGTATGTGTTCCTACTTACAGTTAAGCTGTGCCAGCATGTACTGAGCAGGACAATAGCAGAACCTCATGCCCAAACAGGCAGTTTACATTTTCACTCATATCGGTGACATTTTCACATTATTTAACTGATAAAAAATACATAATTAGGTGTTTTCTATAAGAAAAATAGTCATTTCTTCTCAGTTTAAATCATGAAAAAAATGTTAATTTTGTTACTGGAAACTTGTTTCTCCACATATGTTTATTAACATGTATGAGTCTTTGTTTGCCTGTTAACAAATGTCCAATTGTTGCATGCTTTGCTGACCTCCTGTGCACTGACTACATTACTCTGTGGGTTACATTGGCAGATCATGAAAATAAGTAACTAAACATATACTAACAGGACAGTACATCTTGTCTGCAATTGGAACAAAGTTACAGGAAGAAGGAAATTAGTAGGACCTGCAAAATAAAACGTTACATATTTTATATAAATATGTGGATTGAAACATTCATTCATTGCAGAGTGCAGCAGTTTATACCAGATTAACAAGGTCAGGTGTTGACTTCCTTATCTTCTTTTCAGCTCCCGGCTTCCCACAGTATTTTGTAGCACAAACCTGAAACAAAGACCATAAAAAAGACATTAACTATGAGTGAAGTGTTGCCAACTCTGTTTTAAAGGTTTACTGTGAAAAGTCAGTGAAAAGATCCTTTTGTTATTGTTTTGGTCAGAAGACTGTAAAGCTATATAGATGTAGTAACTCCAGCTGGGAGACATGGGACCTTACGTATATTCCAGAAACACATGACAGGAAATCATGGACACTAGTTGCCTCTACAAATGTCTTATAGTCACATTAATTGATATTTCAGCAGTGTTTTGTACAGTAGTGGGTTTAGATCCTCTTCACTTATATCCCACCCTATGTGTGTGTGTGTGTGTGTAAGGATGATAGGATTCACTGCAGGAGGCGATTAACCACTTGATATTGATTCCTGCAGGTCTCAGGGACAAACTGTCCTCAGGGTGCGCTTCATTCACACACACACAGAGGCCGATTTATTTCCACTTTTGACGGGGTGATTGATAGAGTAACCGATATCTGCCTGTACGCTGAAAGCAGGATCACTCTGGTCTCCACGGTGCGTGATTTGCATGCTGCTCATGAACGTTTGCGTGTAATTTATGCGGATATGAGGCTGCCGCTGCTGATTAATCAATACACAGAGATCACAGTAGTGTGTTGCTGCACGGTAGCGTAGAGCTGCTCTGGGTTGTCAACAGGTATTCATCATTGATCTGCTTATTAATGCAGTGGCCCCATATTATTATATACTGTACAGTAAGGGAGGAGACATCCCACCAGTTGAAGTCTTAGAGTAGTGCTGAGTTGCTCTGTGGCACAAAAAATAACTTCTGTGGTGTATTGTATTTCTTCTTTTCTCTAGCTTCGCCTTTTAAAATGTCATGTCAATGTCGTAAGAAGATCTTTTCTACAATTACAAGCCATTAGACCAATGTCAGCAGAGCTATTTCCCCCAGTTCCTTTGTAATAACCTTTTTACTTGCTATTAATAGCATTTTAACTAGACATCTATCACGTCCTGTTCCACCTTTTGTATGAGAAATGACAGAGATAAAGTACTCTTTAATTGACGTTCCCATTAGTTGTTGATCAATGGGGAAAAATAAGTGGATAAAATTTTAAAATTAGAATTAGTTATAGCTCATTACATGTATTAAAATTAATATGAAAAGTTCCATAAGGTGACTCTCCTGAATTGTGTATTTAATATTTAATTGTTGAGAGAACAGTCTCACCTCAAGGTGTACTTAATGCCCGTTCTGGTGCTTTTCAACATATTATATGATCTTCCTCTGCAGTGTTCAAGTGTCAAGAATTTACTTTCAATCTCAAATTTTAAGCCATCATGGACGAGAAGTTGTGAAAGTGAAGAAACACCTACAATTTCTTGATAACTGGGAAAACTGACACTGTTAAGGAAGACCATGTGGTGCCCTCAAAAGCTCCAGAACAGCTGCTAAATGGATCTCTCTGAACTATTGGACTTTCAGTCTCAGTGTTTATTCAGAAAAGACGAGCTGTAGAGAAGAAGATGATAAGAAGAAGAAACCCAGCTCTAAAATGCTAGATTTATCAATGGACTTTGGTGTGACGCTTATCATCACATCTACACACTGACTTAACAGCTGTAGACACATGTGCACACACACACACACACACACACACACAAATAACACAACCAATCACATGGCCGCTTCCTTTCGCTGCCCTGGAAACGCAGCCTCCTCCGGGCCGGTTGATAATCCTCGGGTCTGTAATGGGGACGAGGCTCCCAGGCGAACGTGGCGGTGGCTGCGAGCTTAATTTACCAGCAGCATTAGCCCAGTTTCCTTCCCTCTGTGACCGAGCCAGCGGAGGGGAGGAGCTTCAGTGTTGTCTGCCAGCCTGTGCTCTAATGTGTGTGTGGCCGTAAAACCCTTCAGACGAGTGTGTGGGTAAAAAGCTTCACGTGCTGTTTGTCTAATGGCTCTTGTTCATTGATCGGAGAGGGGTGAGCAGACGGGCCGGGCCTGTCACGTAAATTTAAAGACTGTTGATAAATACAGAAGACTTATTGGCAGCGGCCGATAGTAAAAGTCAACACGTACATGAGAGGCAGTTAGTTAAACGGTCATTAACCCTGTTTATTCACCTGCAGCTGATACTGGTTCATTTTAAATACGGATTATTCTGCACATAATTTTATATCTTTTGAACTGTGAAATATCAGATATACTGTAGTAGGAGTAGTAGTTGACATATATAAATGTTTTGTCTGACAAACAGTCCGACACCTAAATATATTAAGTTAACAAAGATATAAAAACAGAAAAGCATCGAATCCTCTCGTTTCAGAAACCTGGAGGATTTGGAGGAAATTTGTTTGCAAATGACCAATTCAGTGTTTAAGCTCCAAACAGATTCAAAGTAAGTTACAGGACAACATGGAGGACGATTGTGGCTTTAAAAGGAATTCTCGCTGTAATTTCTGAATTCTTCAACATCGTTTGAAGTTTTGCGAGATTTAGAGTCAAAGGTAATAAGCCAAAAGGAAAAAGTTTATTTCTTATTTTATACTAATGTTGATAGAAAAACCTCTTTTTGAAGAATCTTAACATGTTTTCCCACAAATCCTCTTTTTTAATTTAACAAAAGAAGTAATGGCCTAAAGACTGGAGTCTGTCTAAGTTGTATTTGGCAGCATTATACATTGACATTAACGTCACATAACACTCAATAAATAATAATTCACAGTGTTCTTTGGTAGGTAGAGAAAGCGGCATCATCTGGAGTGTGCTGCATGCCTGCTTTGGTTTATTATAGATTTAGGTGGGAATCCCTTTTGTCATTGCAACAGCAGCCTCAGTAACACCCAGATAATAATAATATATTATGTTTACTGGGTAAATAATAACGGGCTGTAAAGCAGAGCGGTTCAGGTGTGACTCCAGTCGCTGTCCAGCAGGCGGCAGCAAAATATCATCTCTGTCCGTGATGTTTCTGTTGTTCGGTTTTTATTCTCTCACATTTTATGAGAGTTTCCAAAAATTGCACCGTGGTCCGAGCACGAGGCTCAGGTGATGCGTATGTGTTGATTATGGTGTCAGCAGGGGAACTCTCACTACACGTTCATTGAGTTTCCCAAACCACCCCATGACAAGGAAAGGTGGCGTCCTGTCGGCCGAGAGCTCTTTGTGAAATGTGAACAGCATCTTCACTCATGGTTCTGCTTTTAACGTCAGTGTTTTACCTCCTAGAATGAAAGATCACTTTGTTATACTTTGCTTTAAATATATAAAACACGTTTATTTCGATTACTTCCTGCTTTTTTTAAATGAAAACTCTCCGTTTGGACCAATTACCCATAATGCTTTGCAGGCCAGATTCAAACGCGTTGCTCCGGTGCTGCTCTCATGCTGTAGCTGCTGTGAATGTTTTCTGTCTGGGACTTGGAGACGCTGTGGCGCATTTGATCAGCGTGTTGGCTTCATGCTCGTTTGTTGTCTTGTTTTTGTGTTTGTCTCAGGTGGTTTTGCTGGGGATGGACATTCTGTCGGCTCTGGTCAGCAGACTGCAGGAGAAATTCAGGACGCAGGTGGGAACAGGTGAGTCCTTCGGGAATATAACATGTAGCTGTTATCCAGTATATAAGCCTGTTTTATTGATTAGAAGGAGTATTATTTAAATGTGTAAAATGTTTATATATATTATAATTTACATTTAATAATATCTAAAAACATAATCTGTTATTTTTGAAATGTGTTTCTACATCTTTATATTTATGTGTAACTCTGCTTCTACTTCTATTTAAAAATTCAGCACACTTTATAAATGTACATTTTGAATGTTATAAATAGTTAAATATAAAAACATAAATATTAAATGTTATTTTATTTTTTCTATATGCAGTTTAATTGAGTTTAATCTCTTTTTTTATCAGGTTTTTGATTCACCCAGGCTCTTTTGATGTTTTTATGTTGCCTTGGTTTTTCATCCTGAACTTTTCATCTCAGCTATAAGTTTATTTTTAATGTTTGTAATGACAATTAAAGAACAATTAAACTCTGACTGTTTGTACAGATTTTTATTACCTGCTTCGCATTCTTGTAGTTTTGTGGCAACAGTGACATAAAGTTTTGTGTAGAGGTTAAATACCTTCCAAGGATTTAAGATATTAAAAATACAATTTATACCCTGGTGACTGTTCCGTTAATTTGTCAGTGTACATGTTGCCATAGTGAGAAATGTTGTAAATCAATGAGCGGGACTGTTTCTTGTCAACATTTGGATTTTTAAATGATCCTTTCATCAAAATGATGATTTTCTGTGTTTTTTTAAAGCTTTTAATAAGCTGAATTCACCAAAAACGGACTTCCTGACTGGGTTTTTATGCAGTATATAGTGATATAAATCTACACATACAGTGATAAAAGTAGGTTTGGGCTTATAAAACATTACAACATGTCTGTTTGTGGTATGAAAAGACAGTTAAGCATTAGCTCTGGGTGGTTTTATATTGAACTTTTCTGCCCTTTTCTTAATTTCTTTGCTGCCGTTTCCCAGTTTTGCCTTGATAATGTTTATCCGTGTAATGGAAGGGCTGTATAAAAGACTCAAAAAAGTCTTGGATTGGCATTTTAGGCAGCGTTCATGTGTATCTACTTGGAATAAATGCAGTGTTAGAATAAGTAGGTCGTGCATGACGTGTAATTATATTTTAAAGAGCACATCGAATGAGCAGAGGAGATGCCTTCTTCATTATAATATTGAAAACTCTCCAGTCACCTGTCGCTTTTGTTTCTGTTTCTGTGTCCGCCCAGTTCTGCCGAGCCTGATAGATCGGTTAGGAGACGCCAAGGACCAAGTTCGAGACCAGGACCAAGCCCTTCTTCTGAAGATTATGGACCAGGCTGCAAACCCGCAGGTGCAGAACGGCACACGTATCAATCAAAGCCATCCACTGTTTAATCCAAACGTTAGCGTCTAATCACACATGTTGACTAAATGTCAGTACTCACGTTTCTCTCTGTGCATTTATGTTTTTTTAGTATGTGTGGGAGCGAATAATCGGAGGCTTCAAGCACAAGAACAACAGGACCAGAGAAGCTCTCTGCCTCTGTCTCATCTCGACCCTAAACGTGTAAGTGAAGCAGACATCTTCCAAAAAACAAATACACATGCAGACATTATGTAACTTTGGATAAAAGAGTTACTGCATGTTCTTAATTTTCAATAATAACGTGAGTCTGTCCACTGCAGCTCTGCCTAGATTTGATAATAAAACACAGGTTTGTGCAGGAATCAGGTTTAGGACAAATAAAAGTGTGAGTGTGTTAATGAGATTAGGGCTGCCACTGATTCATTTTTGATTAATCTGATATTTTTCCAGTTAATGGATTCATTGTTTGGCCTTTAAGATGATTCTCATGATTACCAAGATCACAATTTGACATCTTCAGATTGTTTTGTACAAACAAAATAATTCAGTTTACTAACATTTAAAACAAAATAAATCATCAAAACTTTTTTATTGATGCCTTTTCATTTTGACTAACTGATTAAACCAATAGTTTTAGCACAAAATAATATCTTTGTGTTCCCAGTGTGGGTGAAAACAACACGAGCTTGTACTGAAAGCAGTGTTACTAGAAGTAATAGATAAACTGTGTTGATCAGCTAAAATATTTTTACTTTAAAATCCAGAGTTGGAGTCGAATGATGATGCCTGAGAAAAAGTGTGAATGTGTTTTTATTTAATGTTTTTATGCACAAAGGTTCATGTTATGTTGTGTTTGGTTTTTCAGGTTTGGATCTCAGAGTCTGACGCTCAGTAAAATTGTTCCTCACATCTGTAACCTCCTCGGAGATCCCACAAGTCAGGTACGACCTGCAGGATTACTGGTCTTCCACTGCCCTCTGCTGGTCAAATGTAAACATTACAGCTTAGTGCGGCCGCTCAGACCACAAACCAGGATCTGTTTTCTTTTCCACATCTGCTTTTTGAGTATAAAAAAGACTTTATCTGTTGTTAGACACATGATACTGTGTAGGGATCAAACCTGAGACCTTGTAGCTGCAGGGACCCCTCGTCTTTCCCGCTGTGCTCCGCGTTTTTAGTTTGTTTTCTCCTGATAGGCTGCAGCGGTCTATCATCACCGGAACCACACTTCCTCTTGAGGACAGGAAGCCGTGCCCATGAGCTCCCCTTCCGGACGCCAAACACGCTCACACATGTGCACTGAAGCTCTTGTCCTTTAACACATTACGAACCATCATCACCAGAATGACGAGCGGGTTCTGCAGGAACCGCTTAGATTTTTTTATCTGCCCTTTTGTTTGTCGGAGGAGAGTACAGACCAGTTGGGAACAGACAAACTTAACGGCCTAAAACCCAGTTCACAAACATCTGATTAAGGTTTTTTTGCACTTGTACAAACAGAATAAAATAAATAAGAATGTAACAGGAGAGGTTAAGAAGTTGTAGTGGACCTCCTCCCAAGTGAAGAACTGATACACACTAAATAAGTCAACGTGGCGCAGCGTATAAAAAACACAAAAATAACAACAAAGAGCACAATACTTATTGTGATTAATTGAAAAGTCTTTACTTTTCTGCTATGAGCAGCACAATTAATTGTTATTGTTAAAAACCAGAGTTTCTCTCATTTCATCGAATGAGAGAATTTTATTTTATTATTTATTGAAAAGTATAGCAAGAAAACAAAGTGATAAAATGGCGTAAACACACAGGACAGGATAAAATGAGATGAAGCTCCTGAGTTTGTGTTCACGTGTTGTTTTGATTGTCGTCCTGTAGGTGCGGGACGGAGCCATGAACTGCCTCGTGGAGATCTACCGCCACGTCGGAGAACGAGTGAGAATGGACCTGGGAAAGAAGGGTCTGCCTCAGTCACGGTGCGTTCAAACGTCCACTGGCTAACTTATAAAATGCAGCGCTCTGTCAGGAATGCAATTATATTATTTATTAACCTCGTGTTTAAATTAAAACTGACTTTACTTCCTCTGTTAGACTCGTTATTAACTATTAGAACTCCCCAGTAACAGAAATCCTAATGGACTTATTTGGGATTTAGGAACATGCTGCTTAAAACATTCTGAAAAAAACAATCACACAAATAGACCACAACCATCAATATCATGTTTATAAGCAATTCATAAATTTAGGAAAAATCAAAAAGTATCCAGCTGATAAAACAAAGTTAAGAATGTTTTTGAGCTGTTACAGAGGACCCAGGTTCTCCAGGACTACAAACACAACAATTACTGTCTAAATTGATCGATTGTAAATTTAATATGCCAGAAAGTGGTGAAAACTGCCCGTCACAAGAGCCCAGACTCCCAAGCTGATGTCTCCAGATGTGTGGTTTTGTCCAAAAGATATTCAGTTTACAGTCATATAAAACAGATTAAAGCAGCAAATCCTCAACAGGCGACAAACTGGAACCAGAGGAGGTTTAATAGTTTCTGCTTCACAAATGACTAAGAAAACTAATTAATTGTCAAAATCGCAGACGGAGTAATCATTTAATTGTTTCAGCACTAGTGTGGAGTAATTTTTTTTTATAGTGTTGAGCTGAATATCGTCGCTTAAGGAAGTGGCTTTAGGCTTTGCTGGCCTTTGTGGCATAGCGAAAACATGATTTAATATTTTGATCAGTTTATTTACTACCACGGCAGAGGTGGACATTTTAAAACACATTTTCAATTCAGATCTTACAAGTGGACACAGAAGTACTTATACTCATGACATTTCCTTGAGCTGACTGTTGTTTTCTCCCAAAGTAGCCCAAAGTAGCGCACACACGTCTGATGTTACGCAGACTTTGTGATTATTCGTGTTTGTTCTATAAATATCACGGCTGTCACAGTCACCCACTGCTTTTATTTTTGGATGCAGACACTGTGGGCGATGAGATGTTACTCTGGCCTATTTAACTGCTCTCCGGAGAGTCTGAAATGAGCCAGTTTTCTGATCTTCCGAGGAGCGGCTGCGAGCCTGAAAGCAGCAGGGCTGTTTGTTGAATCTGGTGCTTTTATATGACTGGTGCTAATTCTCTGTCCCCCCCTCCAGGTTGAACGTCATCTTCAGTAAATTTGATGAAGTTCAAAGGTCAGGCAACATGGTCCTGTCCCCGCGTCAGGTAAGACCTCATCTCCTGCTCTACCCGTTGTGCAAGGGGGAACCAGAACTGCTTGGTGCTCACAGTGGTTCTGGCTGAATGCTGAGCCCGTCCTGTTGTCATGTCAGCATCTCTTTGCTTTTATATGCGTTTTTTGTTTGTTGTTGAGAGCGGCCTGCGGACGCCAACATGTGACACTGCTAACACCCTCCAGGACTGCACTACATTTGTTTGTTCGTACATCTACCAGGCTCCAAAGGGGGATTATGTGAAACTGCTGTTAATGGCCAAAGAATTGCACAATGTCACCGTGTGGCACATCTCATAACGCCTTTTATTCACTCATAGTCAGCCGGTCGTTAGGTAAGTTCTTGAACAACAACCCTGATTTCACTTTAAGTAGGGGACAATGTGCTGCACTGTAACAATACAGAGGAAACTTCAGTTCATTGTGGAAAACACAGCTTTGTTTATCAGGTGAAAGTGAGATTAAAATGCATTTAAGGTCCCCCCTGATGGACCTGTGGTTAAAGGTGGTGACCATAAACCAGGGACTTTTCTCTTCCACCATCTTTCTCTCCTTTTATTTTCTGTCATCTCTCTCATGTTGACTCTCTAATAAAAGCATAAAATGGCAAAAGACATGGTTAAAAAAATAGATTTTAGGGGGAGAGACCAGGCTCAGAAAACAGACCAAGACACACTAAAGAAAAGGTATGAGTAGGAATTTGATCTCCTGATGAAATTTAACACATTTAAACAGAAGTTTATTGACGTGCCCTGCTTCAGCTCACGGCTCCTGTGGCTGCAGAGGACGATCTGCGACCATTCAAGCTAGCTTAACTTTATCTGTGTGCCATGTAATGTGATTAAGTACAACAACTGATCTGTCACAGTGTAGAGGGATTGATATCAGCAACAGACAGTCTGTGTCTTTCATCTAATAATTAGATTACTGAATAGATTATAATCTAATCTTTCAGTAATTTTGTTTAAATGGCTGACACAGCAGAGAAACACTTCACAGAGCTCGGGGGTCAGGGGGCTGTCGGCGGCAGAGGAGCAAGGCAAGAGAGATTTTAACTGGCTCGGGAAGAACAGTAAATTAATCGGATGATGAAAACAGATGAAACACTTGACAGCCAGTGTTTTCGGCAAAATGTGCAGTTACATTTGTTTTATCATCTGCAAAAAATATAAATGTGTCATCATCACATCACAGTAAAAAACAACTTTTCAACGTTGATCTTTACTGATTTGTTTATCTCTCTTGGTGCTCTGGGTTTGAGAGGCTTTGCATCTAAAGAAATCAAAGAATGTGAAGTACAAAACGTAACAATGACGGAGTGAATGTGTTTGTTCATCAGTCACAATGAGCATGTTTCAGCTGGGAAGCCCTCGTCTTGGTTTCCACAGGTCTCAGTGGGGTGTGCCCGCTGTCTTTCAGTCAGAATGCAACCTGAGCCCGTTTCTTTGTGCTCCGGGAGCCGAGCAGGAAATGAGACGGCGCAGAAGCTCAGCATGGAGCTCGATTACTGCAGTCACATCCACAGTTATTATCTGAAGACTGTGTCTGATCTAGTTCAGCACTCAAACCTGGACTCACTGACATCAGACTGGTCTTGTAGTCTTATTGTTTGCCAGGGCGGCGCTAACAAGCCTCATGACTGTGGTCACAGGGCTCAGTTTTCATCTCAGGGGGCCCCTCAGGTTAAAGTGAAAAGAAACACCCCCGTGCCTCTGGGGAAACAACATAAATTTGTCACTGAGCTTATTTGATTTGAAGGGAGGAGCTTCAGCACGCCTCCTTTGCAGTATTAGAAATGTCCAGATCTCAGTTGTACGGTCACAAATCGCAAAGACCACAAACTGCAGCGTCGCTCTAACACACTGATTGTGATCACTCTGATCAGAATGTATCTTCATCACAAACGAGATATCATGTCCTTTTGAAGGATGGTGATGTGACTAAGATAATTAAAGCTAGTTGTAGTAGTTCACATGTTTAAAGAGCCGCAGGACGTTGGTAAAACTCATTACAGCACTGATTGGTAGGTAAAGAGTTTCATCTAAGAAAGCTAATTGCATTGCTTTTTCCACGGTGTGTTTATCACCTCAGCTTGTGCGTCTGCACCAGGATGAAAAACGAAAGGTAGAACTGTTCAGCAGCCTTTGAACACGCCAGCCGCCACTTTAAAGAGATGTGCACGTCAGCGTACAGACAACTGACAGAGCTGTTCATGTCACCTGAGCAGGCAAGCTGGAAGCATCACGCTGACCTGGAAAACAGGGGAATGAGAGAGTAATGGAGCGAGAATAATTCAGAGGAGAGCATAAGAAAGTGCATTAAGATGCAAAGAGAGAATGAGAAACTAAGACAGGAAGAAAGAGGAGGAGCGAGGCTGTAAAACATAGACACTTAGACAAACTGAGGAACGAGGAGAGAGACTGAGAAATGAAAGAAAGAAAAACAGACCGAGACTCTTAACTCGGGCAGCCCAGGGCTCTTATTTTGTAGGAGTGGTGTCAGCTGTCGTCCCTACAGTCACAAGACCAGGTTGGAGGGGAAAGGGAGGAGGCAGGCAGCAGTGCATCAGCTCAGGGTCCGTGTCAGAACGCCACTGTTTCTCCTCCAGTTGATCCACAGGGGAGAGTTTGGTCTCAGAGAGCCGGGTCCTGCAGGTAAATTTATCACATACGAGTAAGCGTAAATGTTTCATTTTAAGTTGAAAGCCTCTTCTAAAAATCTGCAAGGTTCATTTAGAGGATATTTAGATGTCTGTATGTGTAGTTGTATAGAAGCTGGTTGTTACTCTGTCCGGATCTCTGTGCTCATAAGCTTTGATAATTGCGCTGGGATCATAATTGGGAGCTGAATGCCAGAAGAAACTGAAGCTCAGTGATGCGTATCATCCTGCTCTGCTCTTCTCTGTAGCCTCGGCATATGACGTGCGGGATTACGTCCAAAATATTTGGATAATTTGAGGTATTTTGGTAGAAATGCTTGTTATAATTTGAGGAACATAGTTTGAGGAACACCAGTGTTTTTTAACTTCATTATTTGCGCCTGTGCTCTTGTCAGTGTTGCTGGTGTTCTGTGTTTACTGTCGTGTTGTGCAGCAGCTTGTTTTTAGTCATAATAGGCACCTGAGAGGTGTTTAGTAACCAAGATTACCAGTTCAGTCAGTTTGTTTAGCACCTGTCTTGACATAGAGACATTAATAAAAGTAAACAGCTAAACCAAGAAAATGCAGAAGTAGAGCTGGGTATTGTCATGGCTGGATGATTCAACAGTTTGGGTGCCATGAAAACAAATGCTCCGTCATCCTCGGTTGCGACATAAAGGCTGTTGTAGGTCAGAGATAGAGCTGGGACTCTGTCCACTTTAATTGATTTTAACCTTCATTCTAATGTGTTCTAGTTAAGTTAAAACAGATTATGACTGAGTGCAGAATGCATTACAGAGAGTTAGAAATCTAACTTTCTCAAACATAAAAGGTTAGGTTTTACAGATACTGATGAAAACAGGACTACTGTTGAAAGGGATCCCTCCAGGGTCCCTCTAGTCTGGTTCCTGTCCGGGTAGTTTTCACGTCAGCAACTTAAAATATTAGTTTTTGTAAAGTATTCCAGTCCACAAACGTAAGTAAGTCAAAGTGAATAAATAAGTTGACCCTCGTCTGTAGTCTTGTAGTGAAAGTAGCCCTCTTATCTTTACGTGCCTTGTAAACAAAATTAAGGAAATGAAACGGATACCCAGGAATTCTTTAGACGACCAGCCTGAAGGTATTAAAACAATAATTTGGAAAATGTTATACCATTTGCACAAACTGGGGCTGCAACATGTGTTTCTTTTATTTTTTTCTGTTCATTGTTTGGAAGATTTGGAAATGAAAAATGTCTGTCAAAGTGTCTTTAAACCCAAGTTGACATGTTTAAATCTCTTAATAATTCAATTTACTGTCTTAGAAATATTCACATTTGAGACGCTTGAACATGTCATGTTGTGTGTACGTGTTGAACATTCATTTCAGCACTTTAAAGCTCCAGAAAAGGCTCAAAAGTGGACGTAGAGTTTATGTTATTTTGTTAAGCTACTTTTCAGGAGCTTAAGAATGAACTTTGACACCGCCTCTTCACTTTTTGAATGTCATCTCTTGATGTATTATTAATTGTCGGTGAGCTGCTGTGAATCCAGCTCTGTGGGTTTTTGATGAACAGGGACCTGGCTGTGTGCGTCACGCAGCTCCTGCAGGGAGGTGCCGAGAGACGGGGCCAGGTACTGTCTGCCAGCAGGACTTGGGTTGCACAGTTGGAAACCTCCTGAATAATAAACACAGTGCAGGGACAGAAAGTCGGGGCAGCATGCACCAGTGAGTCTCTCTCGCTTATAGAGCATTTATGAAGGGCTGCAAAGTGAAACGTCTGCACAACGTCTCACTTCCTGCTGGTTATTTCATCATGTATTTACTGTAGATACGATGAAGAACACCTGCTGAAGTTCATTTAGATATTAAATAAGCCAGCAGCGACAGAGTAAGTTTAGTTTTGCTGCCTCTGACACACCTGTCACACGTTCAGGTGTGCAGAGAGACTCCTGCTCTAAAGCATTCAAACGTTTACTGAAGTCCAAAACAAACACACCACAACAGGAAATCTCCTCTCCGCAGTAACTGAAGGACACCAAACAGGAAGAGGTTAATTCCTAACAGGAACAGAGACTGATTGACCCTAAAAAGCTAACAAGTAAACAAAAACACAACTTAAAACTTGTCACAGTTAAGGAAATATGCTGAATGTTGTTATTCCTCCTTCCCTTTAGGTCACTGTATGTTAGGAACACGAGTCCAGTAACTCTGAAACATACAATTAAGTTATTTATCAAGCAAAAATGCCAAATATTCTCTGGTTCCAGTTTCTGAAATGTACAGATTTGCTGCTTTTTTTCTGTTTTATATCTTTGATTTTTGAAAGAGCATCGTTCTCTTTGTTTTCATTCTGCGCTCTTTGTTTATC